TGTGTGTGTGTGTGTGTGTGTGTGTGTAGGTGAATGAGGGTAGTTGGTGTTTGCAGGGAGTTGATGAGGAAAAGAATTCTGTTGAGAAAAGACAGAGAGACAAGGAAGAGAGGAAAGCTTACTTACTGATACAAGAAATCAGGTCATTAAACCTTTCCTTAGGAAAGAGGGGGTTTTCCAGCCCCCGGAAATAGAGCTTCAGAACGCCGGCCACAGAGTTGATGTCATGGTTACTCTGGTCGTCAGCCAAAGGATTCTCACCTAAAAAAAGAAAATTTGTTATATACACGGCACTCCTTTTCTCTCTCAACAAAATCTGAGTGTATACACACACACATACACACATACACACACACACACACACACACGGGAGCATATGAGTCTTTTTAATTTTGCTCTCTGAAAGATTACATGGTACTAAAATTGAAATAATTGGTTTAGATATCCTACCCCGTGATTAACCTAAAAATACTTGGCTAAAATAAAGCTTAAAAAAAAACTTATGCTACCAAACACTCTCTTACAACTTGCCCAAATCTTAAAATAAAATATTGTAGGGTTTATAATTTTACCCAGTTTTTTTTTTTTAAGCTAAAATCAGTAAGCTTAGGTTAACATGAACTAAAAAAAAAAAAACTACATTCAGTGTTTCTTATTCCTCTGGGAGAAAGATATAGTTGAGTTTGGTCTGGCTATGCAACACGGGTCAGCAAAATTTACCAGAAATAGCCAACACGGACTGAACACCTGCACTAAATAAGCAGGGGTTTGCAGAGGTGCCAGGGTGTGGGCACAGAGTTATCTGAAAGTTGCTTTCAACAGTGGGAGGCTCTGGGACCAGCAGAAGGGATTTGAAAATGTACCCTTACTTGTACCCAGGAGTTTATGTGGAAAGTGAATATCAAAAAAAAACAAAAAAAAAAACAAAAAAAAAAAAAAGAAAATTGATCACACACAGAATTACTTTTCTTGATGGCAAATGGGTGAAGCTGCTAGTCGGCTCCTTACCCTACCTTCTTGGGAATCTCAACGGGACGTCTTCAGAGCACCATCCAACTCCACTGGACACTGGCAGGCAGGGGCTTCCTTCCCACAGTTCACAGAGCGGTCATTACACTTCAACACATGCTTGCCTTTGGGGGAGCTTATTCTCAGGGGCCTCTTATTTCCCTTCCCTGCTTTCTAGGCCAAGGAATGGCCAAACAGGAGCTCAGCAGAATCACTTGTATTATTATTATTATTATTATTATTATTATTACTATTAACTATTATTATTATTATTTGTTTTGCCCTTTGAGAGAAAAACCTCACCTAGGTATTCAAAAACAAAAGGAATTTCCAGGAGTAAATAACAAAGCATTCACTAGTCTGTGGTGGCCACCAAGAGCTTAGCCTATGCTTAACCACCTCCACCTGGCCTTCACCGCAGTGTAGGTAGTGTGGCATGCTCAGCTGCTGCCCGGAGACTGGTCTGTCCCATGTGCACTGGTCGGAGACTTTGAAACCAGAAAAATCCACTGTGGTGCCTAGTTAACCTCCTCAGCCAAGGCTTCCAACTTCAAGGGGCTCTATGGCAACTCTAGGTCAGGGAGAATGGGACACACAGGGACACACACGGCACACATCTCCACGCCATCACCATTCTGCATTTCTGCCCTGACTGCCAAGCAGAGGGAAGACACAGAGGAACCCGGAAGTAGATGCACTACAAATCATGACAGTTGGAGAACATTAATAACCAACAGCTTTGTTAAAGGGCCAGGAATTTTCACAGGTCAAATCTAAACCACCTAACAACCCTACAGTTTTGCAGATGAGGAAACAGGTCAAAATAAGATTGGAGCCTTTTGGCCAAATTCCACCATCAATAATAAAAGAGACTCTGATTCAACTCCGGGTCTTCCTGACGCTAGGTCGGTGTATGGCTTTGCTAATGATAATGTACTCATTAATGGTTTCGTACAACTTGTGTCTCAGCCAATTAGGAACCTAGAGAAGGCACTGACCCAGGTCACAGGAAGTGGGAAGGAGATGTCCCACCCCTCACTATGAAGGCTGAGCCAGCCTATCCCTTGTAGAACCCTGTCAGGTGCCACCTTGACACACGTCATGGACAGTCTTTGTGAACCCTAAACCAGGGGACAAATCTCATTGGCTTTTCTGCTTTTCACAGGAACAACTCATTGCCCACGGCTCCCACAGTGAAGCCCGTGCAAGACGGAGGTTTGTGTGTGTGTGTGGGGTGCTGAGCAGAGTTGAGTGCGCCGGGCAGAACACAGAATTCTGAAAAGTGGGTTTTTACCATGTTTTGCTTATGGGTACAGACATACAGTTACCTCTCTCAAAGGAATTCTTGATATCATTCACCTCCACCTGGGAACCAGACACTCTGAAAATCCCCTGATGCTGGAGACCTACGGGTGACAGAGGAAGAGCGTGAGAAACTCCCTCCTCACCTCCCCCCCCCAAAAAATCTCTTTTTTCCTCAAGAATAAAACGCCAGCAAAAGGACAGGCTTACTGAAACAAACCCACTACCTGCTCTTAAATGAGGATTCCGTGAAGACGGGCTTACCATAGAGATTAATGAACCGGATGGAGCTTTCCACAATTAGAGGGATAACCTGGCCTGAGTCCTGGGGAGAGAGACAGAAACCAGCCATTGTCAGAGGAGAAGGCCGAGTCCCATGGAGAAATAAGATTCACAGTTCAGTCATTAGCGTGGCTTTTGCCCTAGTCAGGTGACCTTTTCCGAACACACCCCTCTAGAAATTCTCCAGAAAGAACGAATAACAACAAAAAGAGTGAAAAAATATACAAGTGGACAAAGGTGTATTTCAGTTCTGAAGCAAGCTAAATTAGGTGCATTTAACACAAGAAATCCTAGGTATGTTGAGAAGCGAATTCATGTTGGGAGTGGTGGCCGTCATCCCCTGAGCCAGGAGGCTGAGTCGGAGGCTAGAATGGGTAACTCCGCTGCCTCAGACAAGAGCCACAGCACCAAGACCTCACTTCATGTCTTTTCCTTATCTTTACCTCACATGCCCAAAAACGAGTAACTCATTTTAAGAGGTTATTACTCAAGACAGTCAGTGTGGAGCATGCCGGGAGAATATCGTGTGTTTCAATTGCAGCATCTTCTGTCTAATTCGCTGCTCCAGGATTCTTAGGACCCTCTCCACCACACATCACTAAGACCACGCCACCTGGATGATGGCAGTCGCCAACTGTCTTGTAGGTAATGAAAGTGTGTTACATGGTTACTTAGTCTGCATCAGAACTTACTTAGCTTCATACACTCAGCCCGTTTTAAGGATGAAGACAAGGAAGACCGCTTTGGCCTTCCTGGCCCACACCTTGTAAAATGGTCACCATCCTCTACCAAATGCTGGAAATGCTTTAAAAGCCACGTGTATAGGATGGCAGATGAGATGAAGGGGCCCAGAGGGCAGTTAAACATGTACTGATGGCATGCACTCTGTGAGTTACAAAGAAAGACCAGGGATGATGTTTCTCATGGACTTTTAAGACCACTCTTTTAGGAATTAGATCTTTCCAGGAAACATGGGACTTGAAAGGGATTAGCTGGTGTCGGGCACACACTCCTGAGGAGTTTCATTCGGAACTTGGTTTTAACACACTAGGACAATTCAGACCGGTTAACTTTCCCAGGCCAGCTGGGCAGGGGACACTGGGAATAATGCATCTCGGCAGTCCAAACTCTTCCCACTGTCTTTATCGTCTCCAGAGTAGGCAATGTGCTTCTTAAGACACAGTTTTATTTTCAAGCTTTAAGGCAACCAGGGTATAAACCACTTAATGTTCCAATTACTTCTGGAGACTGTATTGGGTTTCTCCAATTCATTAATTTGGTTGAGGATCATACGTTTTATGAATTCCTTAAAGAAGAGCCTTAAAAAAGAAAACACATTTTTAGTGAAGGCTAGCTGGCTCACGAACAGTGGGGTAATGACATGAAAATTTACTGAATACACGAAGGGGTCTTTTTCTGTAAGACCCAAGCATGGTTTAATGGAAGCAACATCTTACAGACGGTTCATGTCACACTGCAACTTAAAAGAGCAACAAACACTTAAGAGTGAGTGATGAAAGGGAACATTAGTTTACATCTCTGCCGAACTCAGCATAAAGACAAAGGACCCAAGATGAAAAGAAAATTGTTTGCACTCAGAAAGTTCTGAACAAAGTCTTCATGGTACTGTACTAAACATTTTCGTCTTGACATCCACTTAGATGACAGTTAATCTTTTAACAAAGATCAGCATCCCATTTAAGACATAGTGCACTCTGTAGTAAAAATATAACGAGCATTTTAATTTCATGGGTGCCATATGTTTGGGCTGAAAATATTTCACAAGGAGTGAGATGATGGGCTGCTTTCTGCCACCTCCATCCAAACATCTCTCTGTGTCTCCCTTTCCCCATGGGAAGATGGTTTTGCTCTTGCCTGTTTGTGGTGCAATCTGGGAGAGCTCAGGAGCACTTTCCTGAAGTGCAGAGCGAGATCTCAGTCCCTCTGGGTTCCCGGGTACCAGTGAGCACAGCTCACACAGCGGATTTTTCACAAACTAACTACCTTAGTCCTCCTTCGGTTCCTCAGTTTGCTGGCCTTTAACTGACAGTGTTTAGCAAGGGATTTTCAAAGTCTCTAATACGTGCATCGTCTGAAGCAGCTGTTCCCACACCACGCCAGGCAAGGGACCAGAGTGGTTCATCGGCCTCTGGCTTGTTGGCTTTCTCCCTCCCTGCCAGGCCATCAAGGGCACAGCTCTACTGTCTTCCTTTGAATGTTTGCCCTCATTCTGTTAATTGGCTCCTGCCAATAAGCTAGGGGCTGGGACGCTAGTTAATCAAGTCAATCTCGACAATAATTTTATATTCAATTAGCGTCAAAAGGAGCCGAGACTTGGCAATGCCTTGGTGATTTTGCTGTGTGGACTGCTCAGTGGCCCTTCACTTTATCCCAGGGTTAGGTCTCACTTTTAAGGCTTCTAGTGGCTTCTGATTTCTCTCCCTCTGTATGCACACAAGCGTGAATGTACTAAAGTGCCATATACACGGCACACACATACATCAATGCAAGCCTTTTAATTGCTAGCACACAGATTTAACAAATAGATCTATCTTTAGAGAAGTTAAGATGTCTATAACATACAAATTATGGAACTTATCAAATATTTAAAATGTCATTTTCCTACTATAGTTAGTCATCAAAAACACTGTAGCCTGCCAGGCGGCGGGCAGTGGTGCATACCTTTAATCCCAGCACTCGGGAGGCAGAGCCAGGTGGATCTCTGTGAGTTCGAGGCCAGTCTGGTCTACAGAGCGAGATCCAGGACAGGCACCAAAACTACACAGAGAAACCCTGTCTTAAAAAAACCAAAAAAAAAAAAAAAAACAAAAAAACAAAACAAAACAAAAAAAAAAACCAACAACAAAAAATACCCCACTGTAGCCCATCTCATGAAATGTTATCTCTAATGGGAACATCTCTTTTTCATACAATTTACATAAAAATCCATAATTCAATATTAAATATGCATTTGGTATTTATCACTGACTTTCCCTAGCTGAAATTGGAGGCATTTGCCAAACGCCATCAGGTAAAAGCTGATACGTCCACTCTAACTGGTAAGTATTATTCCGTTTCAATTAGTGTCTGCTTCCCACAGGTTTTACTAAGTAAAGCCCATTTATAAACTGTCAAATTTCTAACTGCAAACATTTTTCTCTTAGAGACCTTAAAAACTCTAATGAAAGCCAAGCATGGGTATGACTTGCAAATGATGCCAGCTCATAGAGACCCTCGCTTCCCTCCGGCACAATACCTGATGTCTGGCGTGAGAGTTCCTTCGTCCCCGGCTAGAAGCATTATCAGAAATACAGGATGAGAAAGAAGGCAGAGAGTAAACACAGCAGAGATACAGACTTCAGGGCTGTACAAAATTTGTCCAATATAATGAATTCCTTAAGTCACGAGAAAGCCAGACTCGTGCCTTGCTTCAGAGCAAGGCTACGGACAGATTTTAAAAACATATACACTGTGCCGTCTCATGTGCACAAGTAAGGAGAAAATATTTTATCAAGTTTACCTTTTCTTTTTCCTACAGATTTTGGCTTGGAAAAAGAAAAAAAGGGGGGGGCATTTTCTTTTACCCAGATGATAATATTGTCCGCATTAATTTTTTTTTCTCCAGAAGGTTCTCAATCCAAATATTCATTCCTCTCTGACTTCAGGAAATATTATATTGCTTTTTCTGGGAAAGCAAAGAGCCCCAGGACAGACTCGACTTAATGACCTGCCTCCTTCACGGGAGGCTGAGACCATTATAGTGCGAAGCATGGAGGTCAGGCATGAGGCTGGCTGGTGCAGTACCTTGACGAATGTCTCCAAATCCCCATTAAACAACTTAGCATTATACTGGGAGCGGGGCCTGGACTTCCTGTGTTTCTGGGGCTTAGGGGGGACGTTTGGAGGCCTAAGGGAATGGAATATAATTACTGAGCATGGTAGAAATCAGACAATAAATGAAATACCCTTAGGTCATATCAAAATAATAAAACCAGAGGATCCTGGGTTCCTTCCCCACCCCAGCCCAGGAGCAAACACCCCCCCATCATTTTCCTTCAGTTTAATTTTATTTATGGATCAGAAGCACATGAGCTGTTCATCCGGACTACGGTGTTCCTATGTGCAAGAACTAGCGTTTTTATTTTTATTTTTTTGTAGCTTACTTAAAAATGGTATTATAAGTTGCCATTGGGAGCTATTTAGACAAATGTTATACAGCCAGGTTTTTGTTTGGTGAATTACACACCAAAACATAATTATAATAGGGCTCTGAGAGATTTCCAAATGAGAATTTAAATGTTTTTAAGCCAGTTCCTAATTCTCCAATGCAGGTAACATCACATCTGTTCAGTATTCCTCATGCACTAATGGGATTTGATTTTATGTAAACATTTTCATTAACAGGTCATCCCTGAGAAAATTAGGGATTGGTTTCAATGTGGTTTTGGAGTGTGAAGCCCAGATTCATCCGAGTGACCGTTTTTTTTTTTTTTTTTTTTTTTTTTTTTTTTTTTTTTGGTAGAACGCAGGATGCCCCTGCCCGCATTATCATCCGTGCGGCAGTAGATGACACATATTTGTGCTGCTCTGGATTCTTCTGCTTGTTGGCTTTGGTGGATAAGCTTCCAGGCTTGCTAGCACACATCCAGTGTGCCATGGGCTAAGCTGGCAAATCCCGCATCACTTCCCTTGCGCTATCATTGGAACAAGGAGGCTACTACTCCTGCTCTCTCCCTTAGAGGACCAAGATGGCTGGACTCAGTTCCTGCATCTTTGCCGGTTAACTAACTCTGCAAGGCAGACCGGAGAAGGCTCGCCATGCCTATGGACTGTGCAAGCCCTTTGTGAGCCTGTTCTTTAGATGGGCGGCCTTTTAAGTTCATTTGGCTCCAAGTTCGCAAAGCCTAGGTTAGAAATAAAAAAATCCCAAGAATTTATGGGAAACCCTGAAGAGCATCATTAGCTACTGGCACAGCAATCAACACGTGTACGGGACAAACCTGCTGATGCAGCCTTTCATGGCTAAAACCCTCAGAATCTCCTGGCAGGAGGGCTGTGACTAATGGAGTGTACAGTCAGCAGCAGCTCAAGTCCCCTGGTGCTCAGGCGCTTAAAAAGGAGCCTTTGCAAAGACACAGAAGTGTGTGGAGACCTCTCCCGGGCAGCACACCTCGTCCTTCCGCAGCGAACATTTCTGAAGTGCTTTCAGACGCTAAACTCCATGCTGCGCACGAAGGAAGGAGTGTGGCAGGCGTGAGGAACTCACACTAGCCGTCAAAAGTTTCATCAGCTCTACCGGATGACGTCGTCGTCACCTTTTCCATTATCTTGTAAATGTTGTCTAATGCCGATTTTATATTACCAAGAGGTGACTGCCCTGAGGAGACAGAGCTGTGTACCAGCGTGCAGAGGCACAGGTGTGCCCTGGCACTCTGCCATGGAGTGGGTGTGAACAGGGGGCAGCTCGAAGGCTGGGCGGGAGACAGGGAGGAGGAGCAGGTGTGTGTGTGTAAACCCCCATTCTCCATGGTTTTCAAGGGAAGGAATGGGAAGAGCATGGGAAGCAACACTTGAATTGTAGAGCTGGGGTGATTTTGGTGGCTTCTGCAGCAGGGGGGACATTCCTGGTTGTCTGGTACCTAGCAGCGGGGGGTCCAGGCAGGCGGACCTGTAGGCCCGTGTGCAAGAACCAATTAAAGCAGGCTCTGGATTGGCTAACCTGCACAGGAAAGTTACACTTGGAAGGCGGTTCTGACCATCCCTGGAAATCTGCTAACCCGGCCATCCATGGTCCCTGGGATGAACACCACCCCAGGGCATGCAAGCATCAGATACGGAACTAGAGGGCTGTCTCGAAAGGCTTCATGTGCCTCTTGTGTCCACTAGAACTCAGCCTCAAACGCGAAGTCCTGCTATGTCAACCCCTATGACGTCGTCCTGCTATAGATAGGGATGACCCCATCGAGAGACCAAAGTTGCCTCAAATGCCCCTCAACTCAAGTCAGAATCTGCTTCCAAATGTTCCAGCAAGAAGCTTGATAGTCAGTCCTTCACGGTGGGTAGAGGGACATGCAATAGGCGGTCCATGTTAGAAGTGACGTTTTCACAGGAGCTGGAAGTAGGCCATTCTTTCTATTTACTAACGCAGGTGGTACACACCCCATATCACATGTTAACTAAGTTACCAGGTCAAAAGTGTCATCGGTCTATCCAAAAAGTTAATGTGTTTGGGATTAGAACAATTAAGCTCACCCAACTCTGGGTACAAATGCTTACTAAGGAGCTTTGTGATACCGCTGAGGGCAACCTAGGCTGTGTCAGATACCACACACGTCACCTGGTGTGAACCCAAGCATCTCAGGGTGCTGTGCTTTGCCATGCCCAGACTATCTTCTGGAGTTATCAACTGCTTTTGTTAAGGAGAAAAGAAGGCGAGACAGACTACAGATAAAATATTTTCCTACCTTGTAGTCATATATTCAGCTCTATGACCTGCCAAAATAAATAAATAAATAAATAAATTAGTAAACTGGGTGGATTCAGTGGGTTCGATTTGATAATCCTGTGTATCATTGGTCCCCTTGTCTCAGGATACTGAGTTAAGAACGAGTTACAGATCTTGTAGTAGAGAAGATGTGAACGGCATATGATAACAAATAATTCAAAGTCATGATTTTCACAAAATCTCAATGCAAAATTTAACAAATTCTATAGGCTAGAGAAACATGTTCCATTTGGCAATTTGAGGTAGTTTCTTTTTCTTTTTTAAACAAGAAATAGCTCTCTGACTGTATCTTTGTGTTCAAACACAAAACACACCAAAGCATATCTAAAAGCTCCCTGCTCCTGCCAGTGATTTGTGCTGTTTTGATTGACAGAAGAGCAAATAGGCGTTGGGTCAACTCAGTTTCCCGTAGACTGTGTTGGTATTCTTTCTGGGTATGAAATCATGGCACTAGGAGGGAGCTTGGGTTCCCTATTCTGAACTGACACAGACAGCATCACCCAACGGCATTAAATTGTTCTTCAATCAACCACCAGGTAAGCTCCACGTCTTCACAGGCTTCGCCATCTAAACCACCCGCTGCTTCTCACTCATACATATGACCTCCTTATTGTAACTAACAGGACCGACGTGTTCTAGCGCGCTCACAGTCTGCGTTCACCTCAAGTGTGCAAACATCCACGGCGGCTGTCTGTTCTTCATGCACTCAGGGTGGGACAGTGTGGTAAGGTGCGGGAGAGGAGAACCGTGCAAAATGGCCTGTCTGCAAAGCATGACGTCACGGTTCTGAAGGAGCCTGAAGCTACAGCTGGCAGAGAAAGGCCATGGTGGAGCACAAACAGGTGAGCCCTGCCCATCACACGACACAGTGCTTCAGACCCACAAGACTGGACAACTGGGAGGTGCGGATGGTCAACGAACCCCCCTAGACCACCACTGAGCCCCTCTGTCTATTATCCGCTCTTGAATAACAAGTAACATGAAATACTTGATATGGGTCAATTAAACAGGGGGCAGCATGCTATCAGAGGTCACCCTTCTTCACACAGATCTGAGCCAACCCACGTTTTTGGCAAAGATCAGATTCTAGCCAGAGTTGGAGTGAGCTGAGTGTGGTATGTGGTACCTTGATGGCTATCCTAATGGAAATGCCCGTAGGAAGCTGGGCTGGACTGGGTTTGGGCGAGGGCAGACGAGGCAGAGAGTGTCTATCATTTTGGCTGGGCTGAGGCCAGGCAGAGGAGCTGGTGGAGACCACCTATCGTGCGTGAAGCAGTGGGATGAGCAGAGGATTGAGGGCAGAGACACTATCTGGCTTGTCTGTATTGTATGGCCATGTATGGTGCTTTATCATGACATTGGTGAGATATATTAATAAAAACAGGCCAGAAACTATTTGAATAAATGTCCTTAGCATTATATAAGCAACGAGTTCTGCCCAGTGTTAGAAGCACTGTATATTTCCTTACTAATTTTGAGACAGAGTGACACTGTAACCTTGGTATGCAGGCTAGCCTAGAACTCCTGACTCCTGCTCTTCCTGCTTCAGCCCCTGGCAGTATTTGTGTGTATGACCACACCCGGCCTGAGCACTTTATATTCAGTATGTTAACTCACAGTTTTCAGATCTTTCGCGAAGTCGCTTCTATTATTTTTCTTATTTTATAAAAGAGACAGAGCACCTTAAGAACACGACCCGTCCCAGGCCGCATTAGTGTGGCGTGGGTCTGGCACCAGGGTTGAGGCTTATTTTAATTGCAGTTCTGAAATCCCGAGCACTGTGCGACACTATCTTAAAAAATGCAGTGGTTGGGGTGGGGATGTAGTTCAGTGGTAGAGCACTCACTGAGCATTCAAGAGGCTGTGAATGCAATGCTCAACATACCCAGACACATGCACGCACACACACATACACGCACGTACGCACGCACGCACGCACGCACGCACGCAAAGCTAAGTCTCGGCATTGGGGGGATGGTTCATTTGGTAAAGTGCCTGCCAGGCAAGCATGAGAAGCTGAGTTCAGATCCCAACATCTATGTAAACACTAAGCATGGGGGCACACGTCTAGCCCCCCAACTTTCCCCCAACCTTCATTTTGAATAAAACACATTTAAGTGTAAAAAATAATTCACTTCAGAATTCTGAAATAAAATGTAAGAGGATTAAAAGAAGCCAGTGATCCTGGATTGCAGCCCCAGAACTTAGAAGATTTCAAGGCGAGCCAGGGATACAGAGCAAGGCCAGTCTCAAACTCAGGGTAGAGACAGGTGGATCCCTGGAGCGCATGGCCAGCCAGCGTAGCCAATTAGTGAGCTCCTACTTCAGGAAGAGATCCTGTCTCAGAGTGATCAGGAAAGCCATTCTCTGCTGACCTCTGAGGCCTCCACAGGCTTGTGGACACACATGCCTGCACACACGTGCACATGTCCACAAGCACAAACACACAGACTACATGCACATCCACACTAAAACCTGACTTCTGTTTTCTCACCAGAAAACACTTTGTGAACCATCCTAGAAGGAAGGAATGGACCCGGCGTATACTTCTATCTGCCCACTAGGGCTAAAATAAAATATAATGGATTAAATAAAAAAAAACACCCAGATATGTGATTGCGCAGATTAGTAACTATCTACACATTTAAGGTGAGGCGCACCGTCTGATCACTTTCGCATGGTCCGATACTAGAGAAACTGATGTTATTAGAAGTGAAATATTTTACTAGCTGGGAAATTCTGTTTTTTTTTTTTTTTGCTCAAATATCCCAACCAATTATTTTCTAGATTGAGAAAAAGATAAATGATCAGATGAATTCTATTATTTTGCTTCTTCCATTGATGGTGGACCATCTGAGATAAAAAATTAAAAAACGTATACAAGATACATTTTGAATAATGAGCCAAGAGCAAATGTCACGGGAGTTACTGCGTAACTCCATGGCCACATGGACAGCTTTTCCAGATAATGGTCCTGAGTGCATCTCCACGGATGAGTGGTGCTTTATTTTTTAATAAGTATCATCATTAATAGGTTTAATAAGTATCATCATCAATAACACACAAACAAGGAAGACTCGCCTTCCTGAAGAAATGCCGAAGCGTCTAGTGGCCTGAGGATTAGATTTCGGCCACTTTCTTAGGAAGCTTATTTAATTATTAAAAACTACGGCCCACCCCCCCCCCTCCTCCATATAAGCCACTTAGAGGGGAAAAAAATGATCCAGGATTAAGTTTTTTGTTTTGGTACAAACAGCTCCTTGGACTATTTATTTGGTGGAGGGTAGGGAGGTGGGAGAGGGTTGTTCCTGAGGTAGAGATTGGCCTTGCTCTGTATCCCAGGCTCGCCTTGAAGTCTTCTAAGTTCTGGGACTACACCCTTCAAGTTCTGGAACTGCAATCCAGGATCACTGGCTTCTTTTAATCCTCTTACATTTTATTTCAGAATTCTGAAGTGAATTATTTTTCATGCTTAAATGCATTTTATTCAAAACGAAGGTTGGGGGCAAGTTGAGTTAAGAGGGAAAAAAAAACCTAGAGAATAATATTTAAAATACGCCTAGCTTGACTTGGAACTTTGGTTTGTCCCCTAATGAGGGGCTGATGAAGTCACTGTGGTGGCTGCTTTCCAGCCCATTTCCTGTCTTGACTCCATCGACGACCAGAGAGATTTGGTTAAAAAAAAAAACAAAACCATAATTATTCACAATCTGATTCTCTTCTGAAAGAATTGTTGTACTTCTACTCAAAGGCTGACAAGGGATTGTTCCAAGATAACCTACTTGATTCCTTTGTCAAAAACATTATGCCTAGGACGAGAAACAATGTAATTCAGAGCTTGGTCTCCACTGTCACATTTTCTGTTTAGCAAAAATTGTACAGCCATTTCTACCTCTTACCTCCAAATACCTCACACAAAGAACCCGATGTGACCACGAAGGCTCATTACTAGATGGAAAGAAAAAAAAATTCAATGCCCCAGTTTTATAGATACATATCTCATTTACTGTGGCCGATTTAACTTCCATTCAAAAAAGAAACGATCTCCCTAAAAAGATCTAGGAGAGGGAGACGAGCGTGGCTCCCATAGCCCACATGTTTCCTTTCTTTTACTTCTGGGCTTTTTCAAGTCTTGGGAGTCTGAGCCTGGAGAATGCCGCTTTGGGAGTCTGATTCAGTGGCTTCTCTGTGCTGTAAATTGACGAACTGACAGGGCCACGGGTAGCCCTGCCAACAGCAGGCGGCAAGGCAGGCCAAACACATGTCTGCCGTTAGAGTTTCATCTGTGCACTATCAACGGCTAAATCCCCGGACCGAGGTATTTGTTTTTGCTATGAAGGCAGTTCTGCAGCAGCTGGTCTGGGAGAATTCAGAGGTACTCCTATCCGAAATGTCAAGCCAGTCCCCAAACACACCACTTAATCCTGGACCTACTAACCTTATTTAACCAGATGGGGACTTGGATCCCTTCCCAAGGGCTCGCCATGGGACTGTTTTTCCACGGGACAGGCGCCCTTAACCCGCCTGGTCTCCTCTGTTGTAAGCCTATTAACACGAACAGGGCTTGCGTGGAAAGCCAGCCGGCTTACACGGCTTGAACTTCTTTAAAAGTGGGGTGTGTCTCCTGTGCTCCGTTTTACTTGGAGGGTCAAAGCCAGCAGCAGTGAGTGGCCAGCCGCTGATGTTCTGGCAAGCTGGCACAAGTGAATTGGGCTAAGAGCGGCAGAGGTCTGGACCCGTTCATGCACGCTACCCTGATGAAAACCACCCAGGTCCCTTCCGCAGACTTAACTGAGTGTGACGGAGCTATGTCACGGGGGACACTGGAGCCCACTGAAAGAAATTCCAAGACAAAGGACTCCTGGCTTAGTGTCCACAAGGTGTGACAGCTTTACAGAGTGGCTAAGGACAGCCCTTGGCAAATGGTCTCGGTCTACAAAGCCAAAATGTAGCCCGATCCAAGAATGACATGGAGAATAACATTAACCAGTGGGGCTTTTCTTTCTAGGAGACATGAAAGAATTTATCCTGAATGACGACCATAAAAGCTTCAGAGTGCTGCTCCAAGCCACATTAACACTCTCCTGAGCACAGAGCCAAGAGAGAGCACACCCACGGCTCAGTCCCCTCCACCTCACCATGTCCACGGTGGCTCTCAGTCTCGGAGGGAGAGTTTGGTCTGAAAGCTTTCAAAGCATTTCTCTGCACTGAGGAGACATCATACTCTGGGGGGGGGGGCAGGGGTCAGCAAGGGACCTTAAGGGATTGTTTGAAATATTGGGCACATGTGAAAAATCAGAGGAAAACAGGGAATTTATTATGAGAGAAAAAAAAAAACCACACATACACACACACACAAAACCAGGACATAATTATACAAGAAAACTATTCAGAGATAAAAAGGCTAAAAAAAATGTTTAAACCTATGGAAGAGATTAAAGAATAGTTCAAGGAATACACTGACCGTCTTCACTTAGATTTCATAATTGTCTGTCTGTCTATCTGTCTGTCTGTCTCCTTTTAAAAATCCTGAGCCATGCCATTGGGAAGTAAGTTCTGAACAATATGACATTTCAGCAAGTTTTTTTTTTTTTTAAAGAATAAGAACATTCTTCATTACCATGGTACCATAACACATAGGAAAATTAAGTCAATAATATTTAACATATAGATTATATCCATTTCCCATTATGCTTAAAATGGCCTTCATAAAAACTTTTGCCTTTTGGTTCAGATTTTAAAGTTGACACATTGCATTTGGTTATTCTATTTTTCTTGGATGATTTTAATAGTTAAAACAAACGAAAAAAACTTTTTGTAGATATGACTGCCTTTCAACCCAGACCCTGGGGAGCCCCGAGATCATGCAGGACAACTTTTTGCCTTGTGGCCATTCCCTGAGGATGACGGGTCCTTTGAAGCAAACCATCAGGTAAAGTGGTAGATACACTGCCTTGTGGGCAAGGAAGGTTCCAGAATGTAGGAGGCAAGGACTTAAGTATAAGACGGAAACCTCTTTAAAAAAAAAAAAAGATTTATTTTTACTTTATGTGCAGGAGTGTACATATGTAAGTGCACTGTGTGTGTGTGTGTGTGTGTGTGTGTGTGTGTGTGTCTGTGTGTGTCTCTGTGTGTGTGATACCTGAAGAGGCCAGAAGAGGGCATCGGATCCCCAGGAACTAGAGCCAGCCACCATGTGGGTACTGGGAGCTGAACTCAGATCCCCGTGAATGCTCATAATGGCTCAACCACCTTTGTAGCCCTGGGAATCTCCTTTGAACCCAGTCACCCACAAAGTCCATCCTCTCATCTCCCACCCCATCCTGCAGTTTCTCTTTTACTTTTTCCCACATTCATCAGGTTCTAGCGTAAAGAAAAACCTGTCTAAAGAAGCTTTAGACCCCGGACACTTGACTAAGTTAGAGCTTTGCCTGTATATATTTGTTTTTCCTTTTTACATTTTATGAGGACAAAAAGGGGGAAGCCATGATGTTTACATAGTCCCCTTAGCTTGTATCCACCCCACCCCGGTTTCCTCATTTGTAAAGACGAGGAAGCTAATGGTACCCAGCTAAGACTGTAGTTCAGAACAGTTTGTGGCTCTGAGAATCTTTGTTAGCATTAATGCTATTATTTTGGTTACCACACATAGCAATCTAGATGTACACCATCAGATCATTTCTCAACTACCAACAATGCCTAATGGAAGAAAAAGAAAATCAAGCTGGTTTCTAGAATCCCCAATGGTAACAGATGGGACAGGTGCCGGTCCATTCAAATGGACGGGGGTGACATTGGAGGGCAGAGGAGCCCAAGGTAGAGGAAGCAGACACTGGGGTCAGTAGGTACGGGTCCTTCCCCAAGGGACCTCTTCCCTGGAGTTACTCTTCCTTGAATTTACCTCTAAGCTTGAAATGGCTTCAAGAGAGATCATAATTATCAGTGAGACAGGTCAACTGAATCTAAACATACGACAGCATTCTCTATTTATAAGTTGAGGCTATGCATGCATGCATTTGCGTGTGTGTGCGCGCGCACACACACACACACACACACACACTTTCTCACTCCACACTCTACAAAGAACATTCATGACACAACACTCAGGCCAAATCATTTCCCTGTTCGCTCCCGGGGACCGACCTTCTCCAAGAGTCCTCTGCAGCAAGTCATGTTTAGCTTGAAGCTTCGTGATGAGATTACTGCCTTCCAAGAACTCCCGGAGTTTCTGCAAAGGGCAAGGTCAGAACTGAAAACCAACCAGTGTCCCGGGACCTCCCGGAGGGGCACTAGAGCCTTGTTGCTTTATGTGTTTCCTAGAATTCTGCTACTCTATGTGTGATCTATAATCTAGCTGAGTCAGCCAGACCTTGAGAGCCTACTGGACACACAGGCTCTGGGATCTTCCTCCCCAGACCTGTTGAAATGGCTGCATTTTAGCAAACTCCCTCGTGATATGGACCCATGTGAAACTAGAAAAAGCCTGGGTTGGGAAAACAGGGATGGTCGTGCAGGCAGGAGGAGCTGAGTTCAGATCTCCAGCACAGAGTGTGGCAGTGTGTATGAGCAATCCCCACACTAGGGTGGAGGGGAGATGGGAAGATCCCAGGTGCTTATGGGCCATGTTGACTCCGGGTTCAGAAAGAAATCTGTTTCAAAAAACCAAGTTGGAGGAACCACAGAGTAAGACATCCTCACATCTGCTCAAACCCCGCCCCCCACCTCCCAGTCTGTTTTAGAGAAATCCCAACTCCTCACATCTACCCAGACTGCCTCCATCTGGAACTCTGAGGGTGCAGAGGTGACCATATTTTAAATCAAGACCTCCAGGAGACTCCGGCGTCATGAGAGAGGTGCCGGGGAGTGGGAGGGGGCGCACCATGAAGTAGAAGTGTTCGGTTTCTTGCTGGTTGGCTCGTCTCTTGGCGATGCTGGGTTTACTCAGGTAGGTTTCAGACACAGTGGACTTCACAGACTCCGTGGATCGGCTGTGCTGGAAACACTCAGACACGTCATAGTCCTCGATAGTGACCATATCTTGGATCGTCTGGAGGGTGGCTTCTGTCGTTTTCTTGACCTGGGAACAGAAAAAACATTTCACTCATTGGCATATTGTTCTGTGAGCCTTATACTTCTCAGCGAGATTCTGTCTGTCCCTCAGGGAGAGATTACTTCAGAGCGTGGTGGGTGAGGGAAGAGAGACGGGCCAATGGGACCTCAGATGACCCTTATAAGCCATTGGTACCCTTAAAAACCTCACAGACCACTAGAGACTCTCAGTTTCATTCTTGTTTACCTTTTAAATTAAAGTAAGACTACAAACAGGAAAAAAAATACACAGACCTTAAGTATATAGCCCGATGAATAATCTCAACATGAACACACCTATATAAACACCTCTCAGACCCAAAGTGTACTTTATGAACACTCTGACTGTCCTTCAAGTGGAAACCCCACATTTTTCTTCCTCTCAATATGTGTACTAACCTCCCTCCTGCCTTGCTTCCTTTTTTCCTTACTGGGAACCAAAGCCAGAATTCTGCTCCTATGTGCTAAACATTCCGCCATGAAGCCGCACATCCAACCCCCCACTACCCTAGTTTCTAATATTTTGATGGTACTTGATAGAAACAGAATAGTAAAGCATAAATCTGATTTCCTTTGCTCAATGTCAGCGAGATTCATTTCTCGTGAATATAGTCTTTCACTACTTAGTATTTGTTGCCAGGACAAATCATAATTCACCCCGTGATTGACAGATGACTAACTTTTAGCTGGTTTTTTTTTTAATGGATTAATTATAGTGTGATGAACACAATCTTGCTGGGCTACACATACATGGAGAGAATTGGTATGTCTGGAAAATGCCCAGTTGCTTTCCACAAGGATGCTATTTATGCTCCCGCCAGCCTGGTGGAGAGTTCCTGTGGCTCCACATCCTTGTCAACAGTTGGCACTGTCAGTCTTTTTAATTTAAGCCATGGTGCTGGTGTGCAGTGGTCTTATGTGGTTTCCGTAACTATCTTCCTGCTGCACGAGCTTGAGCCTATTACCAGATGTGAAAGGTACCCTCCATCTCTCCCGTGGGAATACTTTCTGAAACCTGTCAACCAATGTGCTACAGGGCTCTGAGTCTCGCTATTCATGTTACTAATTATTTTCCCCTTGACTCCAGCTTCATTACCGTCTAGATGAACACGGTTTCTCCTTTTTTTATGTTTTATTTAGCGTGTGTGTGTGTGTGTGTGTGTGTGTGTGTGTGTGTGTGTGTGTACCATGCCCAGCATTCAATTGGAGGTCAGAGGACAAGTTTGTGCAGTTAGTGTCTCTTTTCACTTTTCTATAGGTTCTGAGGCTTGAGCTCAGGTCCCGAGGCTTCTGTGGCAAGAGCCTTTAGCGGCTGCGCCTTTAATGGCTACGCCATCCTCCTGACCCCGGATTCTATGTTTGATACTGCCCGTGTATCAGCCCTTTTCTTTATGACTACTGCTCTCTGTGTCCTACTTAAGAAACATCTTCTTACCCCATGGTCACAAGGATATTTAATACAACGTCCTAGGTGCTTTTAAATTTATCTTCTATCATCACCTTATGATCCAGTTTTTAAGAAAGATCACATAGTTTATGCTTATCAAAGACTACCATAAATGAACAGGTTTTCATTTTCTCATATAATATAGAGTCTAGAGAATTTAGTTCCATTTGCCTCTCCTAATTCAGATACTACTTTATAGTGCATTACAATAGGAAATTCGGTAAGTAGCTAGACATATTTAACCAAGACATTATTACTTTTATATATTCAATATTCATTTTGATTTATCCAGGTATTTAATAGGCTCCTTGATCTCCATTGCTTATATTTTAAAAGTAACCATGGGGAATTCTTTGTAGTTGAGTCTATTTCATCCACTTGAAGTCTCCTATCTCTTTTCACTTATGAGAGATACTTCCCTGCTGGACAGTTCTTTAGACTATGGAATGTGTTACTGCACTTTTTTTGTGGCTTTCACGTTTCCACCGAGTAAAAATTTTACTATTAACCTGTCATTGCTTTGAATGAAATCTGTTTTCCCCCCATCCATCTTCTTTTAAAGCTTTCTACTCACCCTTGGGTTCTATAGTTTCACAATGAAATGTCTAGGCACTGATACATACATATCTATATGTTTCGTGTGTGTGTGTGTGTGTGTGTGTGTGTGTGTGTGTGTGTGTGTGTGTGAATGCACTTGTGTTACAAGAGTATGGAGGTCAGAGAACAACTCGAGAGGGTCCTCTCTCTCTCCACCGTGTGTGTCCCAGGGAGACTCTCAGGCTGTCAGACTCAGTCCCCCACAGGCACAGATTTTTAAAGACTGATCTGTTAAGTTCTGGCTTTTCTCCTCTCTTACACGACTGCCTCTGTTTCTGCAATTCCTTTCCAAGAGTCCACTTGCAACAGCACACAGCACCATGTTCTCTTTGCCTCGTAATCCTTTTCTTCTCGTCTGTATTTTCTATTCTTTTGATTTTGCAGGTAGTGTTTTGATGAGTG